AGACACAGCCTGGGGGCCCTCTTCTCTGGCCCAGGGGAGCGTCACACCAGCCACCCTTTCTCCCTGCCCATAATAAATAAGGAGGGTTGTCGGCACCTGGGCGAGTGATGCTGTGGGCACCTGGACTGCCTCGTCCTTGTGAGACTTGGTGTGAAGACAACACAGAAGGGGAACCAGCCAAGAGGGGTCCAGGCAGCAGCGAACCCCTCTTCATAGGGACCCTGTGAGACCCGAGACTCACTCTGCCCACCCTGCTCTGTCTTTTGGGAACTGGCCTTTGTCATTCTCTGGGCAGGAGGTGGGAAGGACAGCCCGGTCTCTCTTCCACCTCCTGAGACCCAGGTGGGCCTTGGGGGCAGCAGCACCTCCACCTGGGGTCCAGAGAGGGTGTCCTGAATGCACAGGCCCTAACTGTTCAGTGAGGCCTGCCCTCGTCCACAGTGCACTGACCTGCTGCAGGGTCTCGGGTTCCCTGGCTTCCAGCTCCCCCATCACCAACCGCAGCTTGGTGCCTTGGGAGCCCCTCAATGGCGGGCACCCAGGAGGTGAAAGCTGCATGCCCAGCAAGAAGGAGGAGAAGCCAGTGGGGAAGGGGTCCAGCATGGAGTGTCCAAGGCCCCTCTCCTCCCCCAGGAACACCCAGCCCCACCTGCCGTGGGCTTTCTCCTCTTCAGTGTGTGTCTTGGTGGCTGATGTTGCCAAACACCTTCCTCTGGAAGAGAAGGCTCCATGACCATGGAAGGGATGGAGGTGAGGAAGTGCTGTAGCCCTAAACCCAGAGAGCTTTAGAACTAACTTCCCTGAGCCCTGAACGTACTGCCTGTTACATCTGTACCAAGATCTGCCAAGATCCAGGCAGATTCTCTGTGGAAACACTTTCCATGTTCAATAAGAGAACCAAACTAGGCCAAGATCTGGGCAGATTCTCTGTGGAAACACTTTTCTGTCCAACAAGAGAGGACTTGCTAACCCACAGCCGAACCCCGAGACGTGGGATGTGCTCTAACTGTGGAGACTGCAGGGAAGGTGTTTGAGAGGCTTCTTCCCAGGCAGCTCCCCTGAGGCTCCTGGAGTTACTGGACCCAGAGGCGGAGCACTCGCGCTTCTCTCCTCACTGCAGGCCAGACGGTGCCCCCAACCTCACAGCCCTGCTCCTCCGCCTCCCTGAGTTCAACAGAAACCCCCGGTCATGAGGCCAAAGCGCAGTCTTCTTGGTGAGCAGAGCAGAGGCCGGTGGGAAGAGGGGTGGAGGCTGAAAGCCTTTGTAGAAGAAAAACACGCACGTGTGTTCCCGTGTGTGGTGGCCAGATGCTGCAGTTATTGGTGTTCCCTACACATTTATGGGCGGGTTTTAGTTTCTGTATTTTCTAAATTTCTTCTTTTTTAAACAGCTGCATATTATGAGAAAATTTTGCAATCAACCGTGAGCACTTGCAAAATAAGATCTTTTTGTTTTCTTTTCCTAAAATGTTGCAGTTTTCTATGGTGACAGATGAACCACCTCCTACTTTAAGTATTCATTTAATTGGCTGCGCTGGGTCTTAGCTGTGGCATGCAGGGCCTTCAGTTGCAGCATGTGGGATCTAGTGCCCTGACCAGGGATTGAACGTGGCCCCCTGTGTTGGGAGCTCAGAGTCCTAGCCTCTGGATCAGCAGAGAATGCTGTGATCTCCTACTTAAAAAAAGGTTTTTTATTTATTTTTGGCTGTGCTGGGTCTTCGCTGCTGTGTGGGCTTTTCTCTGGTTGTATGGCGTGGGGGCTGCTCTCTCGTTTCTGTGCTGAACTTCTCTCTGTGGTGGCTGCTCTGGTTGGGAAGCAGAGACTCGAGGCTCTTGGGCTGCAGTAATTGTGCATGGACTTAGTTGCTCCACGGCACCAAAGGAGTCATCCCCCTCCCCGCTTTCTGACAACATTCCACTTCAAAAAAAGACTAAAAATAATCTGTTTAGTAAGTTTTCAGGAGTCTGAGCTCTGAGGTCAGCGTCTGTGGTGTCATTCTCCCAAAGGCATCTTGGCTTCAGATACTGGCTGGGCTCATGAGTCCATTAAGCAGGGCAGGTCTTGTGGCTGAAGACAGGCTTGGCCTCTGGAGCTCTGCCCTCAGCGACTCACCCAGGGTCCCTGAGCCCCGGCAGCCAAGCAGAGCCACGCGCAGGCGGGGCTGGTACAGCCGTGGGGCCGCCGCGGTCAGGGTGGAGCGTGTGGCGGAGGGAGCTGGCTGTCCATCCCATGACTGCTGGAGTCCTGTGTGCCCATGCACGGCAGTCACGGTGTCAGATGAGGCCTGGCCACTGTCTGGGGACAGCGTGGGCCCTCAGACAGCTCGCATCCCCACTCCCCATCTCCCAGCTCCGCTTCAGATCATGGCTTGTGGCTGCTGGCAGCTCCCAGGGCTGGGAGGCTGTGTGAAGCTCCAACCCCCTTGCTCAAGGTCAGCTGAGACACCCAGCTCTGGGGTCACACACCATCTGTACCACCATCCAGGTCATCCCACTTCTGTGAGGGAGGGCCTGTGCGGAACTGTGGGTGATGGGGAATTTGGGGGTGTTGTGGGCTGGCCCCAGGAGCCAGCTTTTTGAGGAGAGAGGAGCGGAGGGGAGGGAGGGAGAAGCTTTGACCTGCTCGGTGTTCCAGGGGATTCCAAGCCCAGCTATGGTGGGAGGTGCAGGTGAGAAGCCCCTGCAGGTTTCTGGGTCCCCAGAGTTTTTCAGTTGAAGCCCCTCGGCCTGCACCACCCCTAACTCTCCCTCCTGTGGCCCTGGCCTGAAGCCACAGAAGATGGGGAGTTTACGTGGCTTCCCTTCCTGTAGGGAAACCAAGTCACAGACAAATGTGTTCCTTTAAGAAAACATGACAGAAACAGGAAAATAATAGTGGGTGGTTATTACTGACACGGTTCATGTAGCGACGCTTCACAAGCCTGGCACATGGAGGGAACTGAGGGCCGTTGCCCCAAGACTTGGAGTTTTCACCCTCCAACCCCTGCCCCGTGGCCCACTCTCCCCTTGTTGTCTTCTGGTGACCAGGAGGACTTCAGCCTCCTGAACCCCTTCTGGAAGGATCAGGCCAGGGCAGAGGTCATTCACAGAGGGGAGGGTATGGTCGACCTTAAGAACCCCATTGCCCCCACTCTGTGTCAGAGCTCAGTTCCGGGTCTGAGCAAGCGTGGCTTCCTGGTGCTGTCCCCACCCTCACTCACCCAGGGTGGGGGCTTTGTGTCCACCTCGTCCCCTCATGCAGCCTGGCCACCTCAGGACCCATGCTGTGTGTACATCTGCTCTGCTCACAGCTCACCCCGGGGCCCATCAGACTTCACTCATGAAAGAGAGGTGTAAGGATGAACTATTCCATAAGTTAAGAATTTCAAGGTCGCGACAGCGTTGCCAGAGCGCACGGGCACAGGTGTGAGGCCCATGCATAGAGAAGCCGCGGTGTGGGCTTCAAGGACCTTCCGTGTGGCGGTGGGATGGGGGCTGGTCAGGGATTTCCTGAAAACGCGGCTCCAGGGTCTGTTCTTGGCAGGGGGGACGACTGTGGGCACTGCCTGTCTGTGGACGGGGCCTGGGGCTGCCCAGCTCAGCAGGAATGGCAGGGGTGGGAAGAGAGGTCGCCCTCCCTTAGCACCCCTGACCTCACACCCCCTCATCAGGGCAGCTGGGTACCTAAACAGCCCCTTCCTCGTCTAGCTGTGAAGACCTGGAAGGTGTAGGGGCTTAAGTAAGGACATGCAGAAAACAAATTCTGTAAAGCAATTATCTTTCTATTAAAAAATAAAAAAAGATTAAATAAAAAAACAAAAAGGACAGCAAAGGTGGGGCTTGCGTTCTCAGCCAGCCTCTGCCAGATTCCTCCTGTGCTTACGCATCAGACCAAAATGCTGGTGCTCCCACCCCGTATCACAGATGAGAATAGAGACACAGAGAGGTTGAGCATCTTGCCCCAGCTCACACAGCTGCTGAGTGTAGGGCTGAGAACTGGACCCCTGTGGTCAAATCTGGAGCCTAGACGCTGTGATGACCCTGAGGGAGCGGCAGAGACCAGATGGCCCATGCTGAGCCAGGCGCGTGCGCACGCACACACACACACACACACACACACACACACACACACACGTGCACGTGGCCTTCACCTTTGCGGTTACAGAAGTCAGAGGGAACCAGAGGGCCCCCAGGAGAGGCCAAAGGAGAGCCGAGGTCTATAAGGAGGGGAGGCCACACTTCCCAGGAAGCCGAGGAATTCCCTTCCCTGGTGAGTCTGTCTCAACTCTACATTCCTCTCTCTGGTCCCAAGAAGTGACTGTCCAGTGACCTAACTGAGTTGGCTCCAGAATTATGCCTTCCCAGGGGTTCAGCTACAACTGGACTCCACTGCTGTCAGTGATAAGGGGGGAATGAGTACATAGTCTGGGCTTCAGATTTGTTTGGAGACAAAGTTTCTTAGAAGTGGAGTACTAAAAAACCACGAAGGCAATTGGCATGAACATCTCCAGAACACCTAAGAAACCCTCTGTTGTTTATCTACCTCCTCGCATGTCACGAAAGTGGAAGGTCTATTTAACAAGTAATTCTGTGCTTATCACACTCTTTCTTTAAAATATTTATTATATATTCATCTATTCGGCTCTGCTGTGTCTAAGTTGCAGCATGTGGGAGCTAGTTCCCCAATCAGGTATTGAACGTGGGTCTCCGCATTGGAGTCTTGAGCCCTGGACCACCTGGGAAGTCTCTCCTCATACTCCTGGGGGCAGTAACGGGTCACAGACCTCCTCTGAGACCCCCTTAGAGCTGAGGCATGGGGTGGCTGCAGTAATCCTCCTGTGGCTAAGGTGTGGCTTATTGTTCATGAATCACTCACACTCCCTGCAAACATAGGGCTTCGCCCCTGTGTGTGTCCTCTGATGTCTGATGAGGACGGACTTGTGACTGAAGCTTCACCCACACTCCCCGCAAACATAGGTCTTCTCCCCTAGTGTGTCCTCTGGTGGGTGATGAGGATGGACTTGTGACTGAAGCTTCGCCCACACTCTCTGCAAACATAGGGCTTCTCCCCTGTGTGTGTCCTCTGGTGTCTGATGAGATGGGTCTTCTGACTGAAGCATCGCCCACACTCCCCGCAAACATAGGGCTTCTCCCCTGTGTGTGTCCTCTGGTGTCTGATGAGGACTGATTTATCGCTGAAGCTTCGCCCACACTCCCCGCAAACATAGGGCTTCTCCCCTGTGTGTGTCCTCTGGTGTCTGATGAGGAGTGACTTATCGCTGAAGCTTCGCCCACACTCCCTGCAAACATAGGGCTTCTCCCCTGTGTGTATCCTCTCGTGTGTGATGAGGACTGACTTATTGCTGAAGCTTCGCCCACACTTCCTGCAAACATAGGGCTTCTCCCCTGTGTGTGTCCTCTGGTGTGTGATGAGATGGGACTTCCGATGGAAGCTTCGCCCACACTCCCTGCAAACATAGGGCTTCTCCCCCGTGTGTGTCCTCTGGTGTCTGATGAGGACTGACTTATCGCTGAAGCTTCGCCCACACTCCCTGCAAACATAGGGCTTCTCCCCTGTGTGTATCCTCTCGTGTGTGATGAGGACTGACTTATTGCTGAAGCTTCGCCCACACTTCCTGCAAACATAGGGCTTCTCCCCTGTGTGTGTCCTCTGGTGTGTGATGAGATGGGACTTCCGATGGAAGCTTCGCCCACACTCCCCACAAACATAGGGCTTCTCCCCCGTGTGTGTCCTCTGGTGTCTGATGAAATTTGACCCGTGATGGAAACTTCGCCCACAGTCCCCACAAACATAGGGCTTCTCCCCCGTGTGTGTCCTCTGGTGTCTGATGAAATTTGACCCGTGATGGAAGCTTCGCCCACATTCCCCACAAACATAGGGCTTCTCCCCTGTGTGTGTCCTCTTGTGTGTGATGAGATGGGTCTTCTGACTGAAGCTTCGCCCACACTCCCCACAAACATAGGGCTTCTCCCCTGTGTGTGTCCTCTTGTGTGTGATGAGATGGGACTTCCGATGGAAGCTTCGCCCACACTCCCCGCAAACATAGGGCTTCTCCCCTGTGTGTGTTCTCTCGTGTGTGGTGAGACTTGACCTGTCCTTGGAGCCTTGCCCACACTCTCCGTACGTGACTCTCATAATCCCTGAGACCCCTGCCCCCGTGAGCAATGTGCCTGTGTCCTCCGGATTCAGTTTCTGGCTTGTGCTGGGCTCGTCTTTCATTCTCTCATGCACCAGAGAACCCCCCATTTGTCCTCCGGGTGAGTAGGAAGAGGTCCTTGAAATCCCCTTCAGCCTTATGCTTTTCAGCAATTGTTGGGGCCTGTCCTTGGCCTCCTGACCCTCAGGTTTGTCGCTTGGGCTCTGTGCATCTGAATATCGCTGATTTTGATTGCCTGGGCAGGGATCCTCTGGTTGGAGGGGGTCTCTTTCAGATGGTCTCAGGAAGATCTGAGAGGGGTGACTGCGTTGGATGTGTTGGCTGAGGAATTTCTGACTGGAGAAAGCCAGAGAGCAGGAGGCACATGGGTGGATCTGGGGCTTCGGTTCTGCTGAAAGAGGAAGTTTTTGGTCAGGTAGCTGGTTTGCCATGGCCAGGCCCTCCCCACTAATCATCTAAGTGTTGACAGTGCACGATTTGTCTCCCATCGAGCGTGTCTTTACAGTCCACTTTTCCATTCCACTCTTATTCTCTACATCTACAGAAATCCAGGAAGCTGGTGTCAAGGGCCTTTTCTACATATCACCCAGATAGGGACCTTCCAGCAGCATCAGAGGCAGCGTCTGTCCTGATAGAGGTGGATCTGCAGGGACTTTCCCTGCGTGTAAGTGTCAGAAAAGTCACGTCACAGTGGCCACAGGTGTTTTACCCTACTGAGAGATAAGACTTGATGACTTAGGTGGAATCTCCTGAGAGGCTCACTGTGAGGGGAAAGGGTCTATTAAGTTAGGGGCGCCTGGGCTGGAGCTCTCTGCATATGGGAGGGAGCACAGGGGGTGGTTAGAGCAGGTGTGGGTAAATCTGACTCTCTGGCTCCTTGTTCAAAGAGCAGCCTTTGTGCCGATCTCTGCAGGAAGTGGGTTTGAGACTGGATGAGACTGAGTGGCCTAGGTCCCACTGACTACAGGTCTCTGGCTCCTCCTGTCCCAACAGGTTCAAAATTGCTCCTCTCTCAGTTTCCCATAAATCATAAAATAAAGGCATATCCTTTCTCAAGCCTCACCAGTACTCATACCTCATTTATTTCATTCAGGCTTAACATTACCATTTAACATACAATAGGAAGCCCTATTTAAAAATACATCTCCAGTAAGACTCTTCACATCCTCACTCCCAAGCATCTTTAGCCAGCCCACTGTCCCCTCATGTCTGGCAATGAACTGACCTCTGAGGGGACTCCCCGCTGCTGTCTCTTCCCAAAAGTGAGCCAAAGCATCGTGTTAGCACAGAGAACATGCCGCTTGCAGCTGAAAGCCTCGCGGTTGTTCTGTGTCACCCAGGAGGACCCGTGGGGCCTGCACGTGGACACAGGCCCTGAGGCTTCCGTGTCCCATCCAGTCTCCTTCCCCTCCCTCTGTGCTTCCTCCCCAGACCCCTGGCATGGCCTCTCTTCCCGGCCCTGGGGCTGCGGCACTGGCTGCTCCCCTGCCTGGAATCCTTTCCCGCAGGTGTTATCTCTGCAGAGACCCTGCCGCACCGTCCTGCGCCACACCCCACCCTCTGCTCACGCTGACCCGAGGCACGTTCCCTGCGCTGGTTTTGCTCAGAACACCAGCCCCTGCCTGGCATGAAGCCCCTGCTGCCCCAGGGCAGTGGTCCTGTCTGTTTGGGTGCGTGGAGCCCCGTCTGGCACAGAGTGTGAACTCACAGGACAACAAACTGGAACAGTAACTGAATGCACATCACTGTACATGTGTGCACCCCAATGTTCATCGCAGTACTGTTCATAAAAGCCAGAATGTGGAAGGAACCTAGATGCCCATCAGCAGACGAATGGATAAGGAAGCTGTGGTACATATACACCATGGAATATTACTCAGCCATTAAAAAGAATTCATTTGAATCAGTTCTAATGAGATTGATGAAACTGGAGCCCATTATACAGAGCGAAGTAAGCCAGAAAGATAAAGACCATTACAGTATACTAACACATATATATGGAATTTAGAAAGATAGTAATGATAACCCTATATGCAAAACAGACACAGATGTACAGAACAGACTTTTGGACTCTGTGGGAGAAGGTGAGGGTGGGATGTTTCAAGAGAACGGCATCGAAACATGTATATTATCTAGGGTGAAGCAGATCACCAGCCCAGGTTGGATGCATGAGACAAGTGCTCAGGCCGGGTGCACTGGGAAGACCCAGAGGGATCCGGTGGAGACAGAGGTGGGAGGGGGGATTGGGGTGGGGAATACATGTAAATCCATGGCTAATTCATGTCAATGTATGACAAAAACCACTACAATATTGTAAAGTAATTAGCCTCCAACTAATAAAAATAAATGAAATAAATAAATTAATTAATTTAAAAATACTGATGACTAAGGAATTCCATTTACTTTCTTTAAATTGGCAGATGTCATTCATAAATTTCCTAGTGTGACCCTTAAAATATCTTTGTCCTATAAATATTTTAAAATAAAATGTCTTTATTTTAGTTAAAAAAAAATTAATGGGAGGAATTAAGGAAGAAAGCTGTAAAGGGCAGAGAGCTTGTAGGTGTTAGAAAACTTGCATTTTGCTCCTAAGCAGAATGTGATGTTACATATTATTTTGCAGAATCTGATGTTACATATTATTTTGCATGAAATATTAAATATTAAAAGTTAGAACTAGCCTTTTTAATATAGAAATTTTTCCTAACAATCATATGAAAAGAATCAAATTCTGAGGCATTTTAATTGCAACTCAACTGACTTTGGACTGGATTGTACTCTGCTTCGAAATCAGACCATGGAGGCTCCCAGGATGGGGTGGGGTGCTGGAAGATGGGTGACACTCACCTCTCCCGGCCGCAAGGTCACTCTTCCCCCTGCTGTTCCTCTTGATGCCAAGGTCCTGGCCATACTCGTCCCCGTACCAGACCAGCAGCTCACAGCCCGGCCTGACCACCTGGCAGGTTCGGTAGAAGATCTGCCCGTGATACTGGAAGGCCACCAGGTTCTGCTCCTCGTCGTCCCGGGCACAGTTCACATACCTGGGGTCGAGGCCGGGAAAGGGAAAGAAACCTCAGGTGATGAGTGCCCTCCACTCTCCGACCATGCCCAGCTCCTTGCCTTCCGCCTCTGAGGCAGCCCCTCATGTGGACCTTCTGTTCACACCTTCGGCCAGGCCATGTGAATTCCCATGCCTTTCTCTCATTACCTAACTAGCCATTTTCCGGAGCCCAGTTCCAGACTCGTCTCCACCTGGACTGTCTGTGAGGCTGGTGAACTCCAGCTCCTCTAAACTCTGAATTAAGTTCTCTTTCATCCACAGGACTTGGTGCTCCTTGGCTAAGACGCAGCCCTCAGCACTCACCCCAGCCTGCCTTCTCTCCCGAGGCTTTCTCCCCTCTCCCCACGTGTATCCAGGGTCCTATTCGCTTGCCCACCCCCTCCCACGGAAACTTGGAGAGAGCTCTGAGAGAGCTTGAGACACGGAACAGTAATAATTTGTTCACTGTCTACCTGCCCTGATGAAAGGAGAGGCCCTCAGAGAACGGCCCTGCTCAGGGCCATCCTGCCCCCCATTCCTTCCGAGGCCTCAGGGCCCACTTCTCACTGGAGCCAAGCCTGAGGAGGTTGTTGCCACATAGAGTCAAGGTCTCCTGTGTTAGGTTATCCTGGCACTGTGTAGTTACTCAAAGAGAGAAAAAATAAGGTTACTGTTCCTAAAATCAATTGGCTAATGTCTGTTTGCAGTATGCTCTCCAAAAGGACATGGGTTGTGTGACCTGCTTCAGTAACGAAGTTCACGGTCTGAACTGAAACATAAAGTGCGTGGTAAGTGTCCATTAAGTCAGTAAAGTGTCCCTGGTGAATCTAGACTCCTCAAGTTGATTTCAAGTCCACCAGTTTTGTTCAGCATATGGACTTGTATCTTGACGGCACATGCCATATTTTTATTTCCTTCTTTCTAGTGTCTTTTGAAATGAAAGAGCATGATATGGAGGGAAAAGAGGGAAGAAGATGTGAAAGCTGTTGAGGGAGCCGGGTTGAGAAGGAAAGGGGCGTGGGATTGAGGGAGTATCCACGTCTACACGCTGCAGACTCACTGCACTCACCTCATCCAGTTGGCCCAAGACGTGTCTTTTCCATCCACATACTCGTAGCAGTTTCTCCCTTTGGTGATCTGAGTGTCAGAAAAAGAGTTAAAAGATTTCCTCTTTTTTTTTTTTTTTTTTTAATCGGTAGGAAGCAATAGAGGAGCTATTTCCCTTTGCAGTCATTGGTGCTTTTCAGCCTGCATGGATTCAACTGCCAGTCAGAACACACGGTTATCTTATTACTCATCATGCCAAGTCTGAGTCTCTTGGTTACTTGAAGGCAAGGGCTCCACAAGGGAGGAGTCACTTCTGTGCGTCTGGACACTGTGTTCCCACCTCTCCTCTGACCTTTGGATAGAGGTCCTGGGTGTCTGTCCACTGTGGTCCCACCTCTCCTCTGACCTTTGGATAGAGGTCCTGTGTGTCTGTCCACTGTGGTCCCACCTCTCCTCTGACCTTTAGATAGAGGTCCTGTGAGTGTGTACCAAGGTGTTCCCACCTCTCCTCTGACCTTTAGATAGAGGTCCTGTGTGTCTGTCCACTGTGGTCCCACCTCTCCTCTAACCTTTGGATAGAGGTCCTGTGAGTATGTACCAAGGTGTTCCCACCTCTCCTCTGACCTTTGGATAGAGGTCCTGTGTGTCTGTCCACTGTGGTCCCACCTCTCCTCTGACCTTTAGATAGAGGTCCTGTGAGTGTGTACCAAGGTGTTCCCACCTCTCCTCTGACCTTTGGATAGAGGTCCTGTGTGTCTGTCCACTGTGGTCCCACCTCTCCTCTGACCTTTGGATAGAGGTCCTGTGAGTGTGTACCAAGGTGTTCCCACCTCTCCTCTGACCTTTA